CTATTATAATATAAAATAATAATAAAGTCTATCGAATATAAAAATTAAAATATCTCAATCTCGATTTATTATATAAATAAACTCTATTCTTTTATATTATTTAATTTAATAGATAAAAATAAACCTTTTTAGCTATAAATAAAACTGTGTATCGAAAGTCGTTATATAGTAAATACAAAATAAGATATTTTATAAGTAAACTTCGTTTACTAATTTATAGTATAGTATAATTGGTCCACACTATTTTCGCTTCGCATATACACGCTAGACTACCTACCCCGAGGGTCGTTTGCTGCTCCCAATGTTTGCGACACACGCAAGACTATTCATCGTTCCATCTCGATCATTTCATTGACATAACCTTTTTCAATTTCTTTATAAAACGCTGCAACACTGGATGTATTGTTAGGACGTATTGTGATTCTTATCATGCTGCATAACCTGCTGGTATCACTCTGAGAGGATTGTCATCGTGCATTGTCAGCGCTGTTGCGCTCTAATCTCTTTCTTTCAATAAGTCATCAGATTTTTATAGTAAGTCGAGGATAAGTACTCGATATGGTGGGTAGAAAAAAAAAAGCCCTTCAGTCTAAGGGAGTTGTCCATAAAAATGCGCAGAAAGAAGCTCGAGAAGCTCAAAAGGCTCAAAAGAGTCGATCGGCTCGAGCTGGTAAGGAAGACCGTCGTGCTGCGAAATTAGAACGTCGGAAAAAAGAGAAGAAGTCATATACTGCACAAGATTGGGCAGAACCTGCCCCAGAGCATTTGATTGCAAAGTTAGATCTTCCCAAGCACAATTCTAAGTATCAATCATATTTCGAATTTGCGGAGAATAAGGAAAAGAAGAAGAAGTTGGAGTTTCAGGTATTTGATTTTGCAACGTACTTTTGCCATCTTGACTTACGAATAGGTTACAAATAATCCCAATCCTCAACCAGGATTTGCCTACGTCCCTATTGGGGATCCGACCTTGACAAACGCGTGCAAAGAAATATCGCGAGAACAGAATGCCATGATCTTTATTGTCTCGGTGAGGTTGACAGTTCTTTCCGTACTAATCCGTGAGGCTACTTTTGCTGACTTAGATACCTCCTGCAGCGCTCGAAAGAACACAACTCGAAGATATCAGAGCATGTCTTTCGAACCGGATATCACTTTCGAGAAGTCATTGTGGATGAAGCACGCAAAATTGTCGGCGACACCGTTATTTCGGAAACTACCCACGGTTTGATTGAGCCAATACCGGAATCCCAAGACGAAATAAACAAACAAGCCGATGGTGCGATACGAGATCTCTTTCCCAGGATTCCCAACACTGATCGACAGAGAATCATCGAGCATGCTTTCCAGAAGGGTCTCAAATTTCATGGAGAACCTACGGTCGGCCTACAGGCTGATCTTCCTTTGGCACGTCGAGTTCAGCTCGCCGTTCTTGCCCACATTCGTCATACCCACACCAGATATGACAAATTACTCAGGGAAACAACTTGGATAAATGCACGAAAGGTGGTTGAGCCTGTGTGCTTGGACGTCCTTGTCAAATGGCGAGGAGACGAGGAAACTGGGCGTGATCAAATGGACGAGATTTTACGAGAGGTCGTCATTATTACGGATTCAGACGATGAAGATGTCGATTCTGATGAAGAAGATGACTTAGAAGAGGAAGAGGAAGAGGAAGAGGAAGAGGAAGAGGAAGAGGAAGAAGAAGAAGAAGAAGAAGGGACTTCCGCTGAATCCGCTGGTCGCGTGTTAGCCTTGACCCCTCAAGATGGTCCACAAAGGCGGCAACCTTTAGGACTCGAGCAAAATTCATACGCAAATGGTGCTGGCTCCTCGGATTTCATTTCTTCTCATACAAGGTCTAGAGTAAGGGCAAACGAAGGTCCAAGGAAACCCCAACCTCGCTTCAAGCGATACCAAGCTGCCTGGGATGAGGCTTTGAATCGCCGTCAAAATACCGCTCATGAATCTAATGAGGCAAGTATACAAGGATATGAGGCAAGTATGAGACCTGCTCAATCTAATGATTCACCACATTACCAGGAAGTACCTCGACAGCAAGCACCTATCGCTGTATCACGTCCACGCATAGGCACGGAGTACCTCTATCGTGATACAGAACCTCGGCATAGCATTGCGCCTGAACATCAAGTAGGTCTAATTTCGACATGAGAGATAGAACTAAAGTTTCACGACTAATATTCACAGATTCGCCATTACTACCCACAAGAGCGGCCACCTTCCAGGATATTTACTCACGGAGATGAGGTAACAGTAAGACCCTTGCATGACCGCCCAGCTTTTCATCCTCCGCATCATAATTCAGCTCCACAAGTGAGCAGAGAGCCGAGACCTCAAATAGTAGTTGGGGCTTCCCCAACAGGAGCTGGATTTCAAGATATGCTTGCTTTATCCATTGAAACACAAAATGATAGTATGAATGTTCCACCACGTTTGGATCGAGATGCTGTTGTTGGCGACCCAAGCCATCGCCAAGTGACACATCCACGACGCGTGGTTGGAAGGAGTAGAGTGTCGTCTGGGCTCCGAGAAGTCATTATCATTGATGATGATAGCCCATATCCTACACGCCGTCATGTGATTGAAGATGGTTATGGGCGCTTCAGGCCTTATCCCTCCAGGGAGCAGCCTGGTAATGCCACCCCAACCTTTCATTCCAGAGATGCTAATATGCGTCCCCTGGCAATGCCTAGATATACTGAAGGTTTGTCAACAAATCTGTCACCAGCATCTGCACGACCTGTGCTCTCTGAACGAGCACCTGTCTATCAGGTGCCTGATTCTAAACCACATGAAATGCATTCAGATCGGTTTAGAGGAGAAGCTGAGAGAACCTCATACCAGCAACCTATACCTTCTTTGAGACGAGAGATGGCTGCGCCGCGTCCTTATCTGACAGATTCTGACGAGACTTACAATTCTCAGCGAGTGGCTAAGCGAGTGGCTAGTGTTGACATGAGAGTGCTTGAGCGTGACCAGTTTGCACGAAGAGAACAAGTCGAGCCTAGTCAGAGATATTACCTTCAAAGACCAGCGTCACCTGATCCACCTGTTTCCAGAAGAATTTCTCGTGCTCAATATGTGGATGGTCCTGCAGACCAAGATTTCATTCAACGTTTTTCTCAATCTGGACTTGAACCTTCCCTTTCCCGACCGCAAGATTATTCCAATTCCTATCAAAGATTTGTTCCAAATGTTGCAAATGTTGTTCGTCGAGGCGACGAGCCAGATCAAGCAGCTAGGTCATTTACAGTCATGCGCCCTGTTCAAGCAAGATCTCCAGTACGATATTTAGATAGGCTAGAGTGAGTGGGCTCGAATAATTAATGGTGACGTAGAAACTGCTAACTTTCTTCACTGCAGGATATCTGGAGAAAGATCTGGCCCACCAGAATGCTACGAGAGACGTGATCCGTATACTACCGAGCGACATATGCTGCATCATACCATGCATGTTTCGGTACCGCCAGACGCTAATGTTCCGACGTATACTCGAGTCATGCAACCTAGACGTGGAGTTATACATTTGGATTGATCTTTGAAAGATGGGATGTGTTGAAATAAAAGCATTGGCGCCTCCAGGGCTTCAGTTGTTTGTATTTAACATATCCGCGGACCATGTTTTAGGAAGCTCGCGCACACTCCGTTCTTAGGTGAATGCTGGGTTTGGCATCTGGGAGGATGAAAATGGTATGAGGCCATTGTTTTGCATTGCCAATTTTATGGATATGTATAAGTGTGGAACATGGGATTTATGTCAAGAAATAACCTACTGCATTGGGGCGGCATAACCTAAATGCCATTCGCAGACAGAACATCTGATCATGGACTTGGTGGCAATGCAATACTGTTTTATTTCAGGAAAATGTATGATTACCGGCATGCACACTCTTACCCTCAGGGGTGAACATAGTACATAATGTATATACAAAGAAAATCAATCTTATTGCTTTCTTCCACAATGGTCCTTATTAAATACTAAATCCATATCTACATCTGATTCTTCTCACAGAGTGTAAAAATATGATTCGGGTAGGGGTATCCTTTCAGCAACGCTCGCATAACTCCTTTAAATGCCCAATTTACTATAAATCCTATGCTAACATTGCAACCTTTTGTTCGTCGCGCTCGCGCTGTCTTGCGTTTGCCCTACCTCGACTTGAAAGTTCTGACGTCGGTACATCGGGTAATGTTTCTTTCAATGGCAGTCCCGCTGTAGGAACTTCAGGTAGTGGGACACCTGTAACTTCTGCTTCCAGAGCAAGAAGTTCATCCTCTACTTCATCTTCATCCTGATTTGACATCATCCCACCCAACATATCACTCACTTCCTACACAAATATCAGTCAGTGAATTAACACTCATCAGACGTAAAACCTGCCTGTTGATAAGCGATGGCATCCGCCGTCTCCCCCATCAACTTCTCCACATGGTCGAGTCCTCCCATTTCCATATGTATTTGTTTTAACACATTCGTGCCTTGCTGCAATCCAAATACGACATCCTTTTGTACCAGCGCAAACTCCACACTACTAGTCAGTTTCTCCAATTGCTCGAGTTGCGCATCCGTCTTTGCCAGCAAAGATTCTTGATATTTCTTTCGTCGCAGAGCTAAGAGGGCTCGCTTTTTATCCCCTTTCGCTAACATCTTCTTGGCAATAGCGGTTTCGCTGTCGGTGAGTACAGTTATACGTCGTTGATACTGATGGAGCTTGTCCCGCTGGTTCTTCATATCCAAGATAGCCCTGCAATTGATGAGTTAGTGTATGTAGAGGTAGGTGAAGGAGGGCTAAAGAGCTCCTCACTTATCCTGAGCAGATATTTTATGAGTACTGGGAGTATTTCCCATTATTGATATATTTGAATTGCTTGATCGCAGCTAGAGAGATGCATCGTGGTATTTTATTCCGAGGCTTGAAGGTGGAAACGTCATGGCGGTCGGCGCTGATAAGGTTAAGCGATAAGAATTATTCTGCGCGGGACTTGCCGGATTTTGGAAACTGCATAACAGTTTTTTTATTTTTCAGACATCGAATCGATTTAGGATTCTCGAATAACTTTGGGGGCGCTTCACTTCAAGGTGTCTGGATGATTAATGATGAATTCTAGAGGTGGACGACCAAGTTTGAGCCAAGGGTTGGACAAGGAGGTATGGATTGTTTGCCGCGCAAATATTAACTCGAATTGGGTCTTGTTTACTAAAAGTTTATGCAGATATATCAAATTGTAAAGAAGCTGGCAGATGAACATGCACAAAATCCAAAGGGAACAAAGCGTCTCACGATCTCTATTGTTTATGATAGCATCAAAAATTCGAATTCAAGTCTGAAAAGAAGATCCAAAAAGTTACTAGAAGACTCAATTGAGAGAGTGTTGTTGGTGTTGAAGGAAGAACAATATGATAGTGATTCTGTAGATGGGGATTTTGAAGGATTGGAGGAGGAGGCGGCACCACTACCAAAGGTATACAAGCCCGCAAGCTGTTGATATAAGCATATTGACTTTGTTAGGAACATAATATAATGAATAGAAATATTACCAAACTTTGGGCAAAACCAACGCCATCACCTACGATGAGTCCTATGAACGGTACCCCTTCTGCGAACAGGGCTACCACGCCCATGGCTTCAATACAAACCAATATCAATATCATTGGGGAAGTCGAATCACCTGTGAAGTCAGATCGACATGCAAACGGAGAACCCAAATTCAAACGGCGGAAAGCAGAACGAGAAATCAAGAAAGATACTGATAGAGCACCACCTACAGATATCTCCTTGGAAAATCTTGGAGGGGTAGATAATGTTATTGAAGAATTGAACGAGCTTGTGGCGATGCCAATGCTATATCCGGAAACATATATAAGGACGGGAATTCAACCACCTCGAGGAGTTTTACTTCATGGACCACCTGGTTGTGGTAAAACGATGATCGCAAACGCTTTCGCTGCCGAGATAGGAGTCTCATTTATACCAATCTCTGCACCATCCTTAGTGGCTGGTATGTCGGGAGAATCAGAAAAGAAAATTAGGGACCTTTTCGACGAAGCAAAACGTATGGCACCTTGTCTCGTTTTTATCGATGAAATTGATGTCATAATGGGGAAACGTGAAAGTGCTCAGAGAGAGATGGAAAAACGAATTGTCGCTCAAATGCTCACATCTATGGATGATATGGCTTTGGAGAAAACTGGCGGTAAACCCGTCATCATTATTGCTGCTACAAATCGACCTGATAGTCTCGACCCAGCTCTTCGTAGAGCAGGTCGTTTTAATAAGGAAATTAATCTAGGAGTTCCAAACGAAGCTGCCCGAGAGAAGATCCTCCGTGCTCTTACTCAAAAGCTTACTTTGACTGATGATTTTAACTTTCATGCTTTGGCAAAGATGACCCCTGGGTTTGTGGGAGCTGATCTGAATGATGTTGTGTCTGTTGCAGGTACAGAGGCCATGAAGCGTATGATGGCAGTTCTAAAACAACGAACTGCTACCACCATGGAGCTTGATATTCCACTACACAGTGCTACGACCATGGAGCTTGATACTCCACTACACAGTGCTACATCCATGGAGCTCGACACTCCAATATTGAAGGATGCCACTTCCGAAGCCCTTCTTGTGCTGAGATCTTTAGTCGCAAATGCTGGAGGTTCGGCTCCTGATGGTGACTTTTCTATCAAATATACCGATTTTCTCGCCGCCATACCCAAAGTCCAACCATCGGCTAAAAGAGAGGGATTTGCAACAATCCCAGATACCACATGGGCTCATGTTGGTGCTTTACACGAGGTGCGCGAGCAACTTGAAATGGCCATTGTCGAGCCGATCAAACGACCAGAATCTTTCGCTCGAGTTGGTATTACAGCACCGACAGGAGTTTTACTTTGGGGACCACCTGGGTGTGGTAAAACCCTTCTCGCTAAGGCCGTCGCCAATGAATCAAAAGCCAATTTCATTTCCATCAAAGGTCCTGAACTTCTTAATAAGTATGTGGGAGAATCTGAGAGGGCAGTTAGACAAGTCTTTGAGCGTGCCAGATCATCCGTACCATGTATCCTCTTCTTCGATGAACTCGATGCATTGGTTCCCAAACGTGAAGATTCTTTGTCAGAAGCTAGTAGCAAAGTCGTCAACACCCTTCTTACCGAACTGGATGGTCTGAGCAACAGAGCTGGTATATACGTTGTAGGCGCCACCAATCGACCTGACATGATCGATCCCGCTATGCTCCGCCCAGGTCGTCTTGGAACATCAGTCTTCGTCGATCTTCCATCTCCAGATGAACGCGTGGAGATTCTCAAGGCCCTTTACATAAAAGCACTACCGCTTGCCAACGCTCAAGAAATTGAGGCACTAGGTCCGGTAGCGAGAGATGAGAGGTGTAATGGCTACAGTGGAGCGGATTTGGGTAATCTGCATCAAGCTGCTGCGGTAGCAGCTCTGAAGAGGGAGATGATCATGGTAGCACAGGGACAGGCGACGATAGAGGATGATCTAAAGATTGGAGGGGCGGATTGGGAGGTTGCGTTGGGGAGGATTAAGGCGAGTGTCAAAGATGCGGGGAAGTATAGGAGGTTAAGGGATAGAGGGATGTAGAAGATAGATTTTATATTCAATGCTCAAATCAAAAATTACAAAATTGTGTGCTCCACCGTGCTTGTGCAATTTTACATGTGCATAGCATTCGTCTTTGCTTTTTGTATTTGCTCCAATCAAAGTATCTCAAGTCAATCTCCCTACAGCATTATTCCCATATAGATGCTTGCTGGCTCCCGGTGAGCTTTCGTTGCCCCCGGTGAGCTTCTACCATCCCCGGTGATCTTTCCACTGTTCCAAGTGACGCGGTAAAACTTTCACAAGTGGCACGTGCACGACCTCCCTCATTAGTATCAATTCTCCATGCCATGTCTTCGATACCGATACTGCTCTCATCGATATCATTCATGATCATTCCACGATTCAGCGATTCTTCAATACACTACACTACATCTCAAAGTCCCTTTTTCATACGCCATTTACTCGAGTATTATATACCATACCCAAAACTCACAACACATCCGTCCAACGTTAGACTAAACAAACAAACAAACTCCTTGAAACTCAGTCGGTATTAGGTACTTCTATTTGCATGGAAGTCTAAGCTGGGTGGGCTATTGCACTACGAATAAATCGAATAATTGATTCTGTTTTCTGTTTTCCGTCACCTACCTAATCTCTTGTTTACACCACTGGTCGGTCACTGGGTTACCTACTCGAGTAAAATCCATCAGATCTCGTAGCCGAATGTCAATCTACCGGCCGGTACTCTTACAGCTAACGGATGAATATCCATCCATTCATCATATCCTATCATCCCAAACTTCAAATAAGACAAGAAAAATATCATATCAAACATGACGAGCTCCAGCTCCAGCTCCAACACCAATACCATCACACCCATCACCTCCCTACCCCCCACAACAAAAACCAAAACCATCCCATCTCTCCCCCCTAATTTCACATTCGCCCCTTCAACTTTATACATACTCCTCGCGGACATCGGTTGTGAATCTTTATGTAAGCTATTCCTTTGATCCCAAACTTCTTCATCTCAATCATACTTTCAACTCTATTTGCATAGTGAAGATATAAATATTCCGATAGAGGTTTAGTTTGTCAATTTCTTGGATCTGATTTGATTTGATTTGATAGATAATCGCTAATACTCGGTAATATAGTTCACTGGGCATACCTTCTTACTTCTCCTCCACCACCCGCTACTACTACCCCCTTTCTTGCTCCTGTAACTGGTACTATTTGTAAGCTTTTGTTTTCCTTTCTTTTCCTTCTCTCCTCCCCCCACAACATACAACACATCAAGCTTCCCCAATTCCCAGTCCATCCATCCCCCACCCCTCTTTCCCCAAATTTTCCTCTCCTCTCCTCTCCTCTCCTCTCCCCTCCTCTCCCCCCCCATCACACCCCCAACCCACCTCAACTCTCAACTCCAAACCAATACCAACCCCCCTCCCCTCCCTCATCACACTACAAACCCCACCCCCAACTCACTCCCAACTCACCTTTTCCCCCCAAACCAGTCCACATAACCAACTCCACCCCCTCCACCAACTCACCCTCCACCCCCCACCAATGGACCCACCAATCCCCCACCATCCCCCTCTCCACCCTCATAAAATTCATCCCCAGCCTCCTCTTCATCCTCCACATCCAACCCATCGACCACATTCTCTGCCCAGCTCTCAAACAGCGCTTGGGGGTCTTGGGGCTTCGGGCTCAACTTCGGAGTTTGGAGTTGATGATGCCTTTGCCGGGAGGGATTGCTGAGTCTGAGTTTGAGTTGGAAGGGAGGTTAGAGCTGAACGTATACGAGCCACCGGAATTAAAAGAGAGGGATGAACATAAAAACGCAAACGCAAACGCAAACCCAAACAAACCCACAAACGAAAAAGAAAAAGAAATCACAAGCAAAACATGGACGAAAGAAACCCTCTACACCCTCGACGAAGAAGGCTATATAACCTTCCCCGAAACGACGAACCCCAAGACCGTCGTCGATGGGATAGAAGCGGAAGCTGTTGCTGGCGCGGGATGGAATAGGATGAGGGGGACTGTGGGGTTTGAGAAGAGTGCGTGGGTTGGGGAGTGAGGGATGGGATGGGATGATGGGATTGGTGATGGGATGGGATGATGGGATTGGTGATGGGATGGGATGTGATGGGGTGGGTTATGGGGTGTTTGTTGTATTGGATACTACGAGTATGTATGCTATGTTTCTCTTGCGAATGCGAAAAGGATAATGCTGTCTGTCGAGATACCTAGCCATCCATATTTTTGTAAGTCCACGTTCTCACTCTCGCTACCCATCTTCATACATCTCTTACATGACAATAGCAAAAATGAATATAAATTTAATTCCCCATATCATTCCAATCCAATCCATTCTCATCAAACCCACCTACAGATCAACTATTATACCGCTAACATTCAAATGCACTTTGTCCCCAGCTATATTTAAATTCCTCGTCATACATCCATCCATCACTCCCATATATGTAACCCGAAGAAATAATTTCTAAACCACCCTCGAGATATCCAATCTCCTCAAAGTGAAATACATCTTAGTGAAAGTAATAGATGCCCCTTTTCCCTCCCAAAACTGTATATTCAAATGGCCAAATAAATGTAAAAAGCCTCCACCCCGCCCTCTTTCCCATCTTCCCTTTCAATTGGGAATTTGAGCCAATCTTTATGCTCGGCGTGGTATCTAAAAATAAAATGAAGTAAAACGAAAGCCAAAGTCTCCCAAAAATGTATTGACAGATGAATAAATAAAATGTATTTCAATATGTAAATAGTCCCAAGAAGGACGAGAGTAAGAATTTTATCTCGCAAAGCAGGTAGATGTTAATCTCCCGAGATGAACAATATCTCGGAGGTGATTTCGATGAATGATATTGATGAAGGTTGATGATAAACGTTATGTCGTAGAATAATATCCAAAGGAGAAAGATATCAAAACCCAGCCGTGGTCTTCTTCCGCCTCCCGAAAATACGACTTGCGAATGAAGTCTCCTCCTTTGCGTGAACGAAAGGTTTGGGTACGATTGATGGGGGCGGTTCCGAGTTTCGTAGAAAGTCCGCAAGATCACTTGTCTGTGATTTGTATTTCACGGGAACCGGCTCGCGAGACTCATAAGGCTTGCGAACAACAGTCGAGCTTGAGGTTGTCCTTGGAAATTCGGGTTGCTGAGAATAGCTACTACCAACAGCGGAAGGAGCATTAAACTGAGGATTGATTGGAGCAAGAGGTGTGTGTCTGGGGAGGGTTGTGCGGGATGTCGTAGAATGCGATGTTTTGGGCGGCTGAACTTGAGAAGTTGAGCCACTTCGAGTGAAACGTGAAGAAAAGCTTGCCTTCTTCTTAGGCGGCCTGGGCGCTTCGGCGAAAGCAGAGGTCATCTTGGGCGAAGGTGGTGGAGGTGCGTTTCGAAGGAAGTCGGCCAAGGACTCTTCTTTTATGGGTGCTGGTCTGGAGGAAAGCTCAAATTCATCACCCTCTTCATCACTGAAATCAATGGCATACGGATCCCTAACTCTTCGTGTCTTTCGTTTCGGCATCATATCTTCATCATCATCAAAATTCGTACCACTTTGTGCAGGCATAGGCTTGTTGGTCCTGGTGGAGCTATTCAAGAGTCCGGTCTGCGAAGTAACCGATGAATGATTTGTGGACGGCTGAGTAGAGGCTTGGCTGTATCTAGCATCAGGTAGAGATGCATCTATAGCTTTACCACCACTGGCAAAACTAGACATTTGATCGGAATCCATAGTCGATCTGAATGGAGCAACAGTTCGTGGTATACGATGACCACCTACCTCATCAGGACCAGCCCTAACAAAGTCGATGAGATCGGTAATTGAGTCTTTACCTACAGTTGCATCACGAGCCTGTAATCTATTTGGCCTTCCCGATCGACCCGCGGATGATGCTGCACGTGTGGGAAGAGCGGCGGTGGGGCCCACACGAGAGGTTGAGCTGCTGACGTTTCTTGGAGTTCCATTGGTTCCTTTGTGGACATTACCGCCAGTTAAAGATCGAGGAATCTCACTGGCGGCGCTTGAAGATGATCGGGAGTGAATATCTTCTTTCTTGTAAAGAATTGCAGGACCTGTGGATCGTATGAAATCGGAGAAATCTCCAAGTGAATCTCGATCAGTTCTTGCATCTCGTGCTTGTGGGGTATTAGACCGAGCTCGACTACTGCTCGTCGAAGGGCGAAGGGAACCTTTCGAAGAAGCGAGCCTCTTTGGTGTGTCGCTAGGAGGGTTAGAGTGCAATCCAGTATGCTTGCTCACTGACGATGTGTGTGTACGGCCAGTAGCAGGTCTAGGGACAGGGATGGTCGTTGAACTCAATGGAGAGTCCGGGCTTTCAATAGCCCGCATATTCTGCGGTGTTAATGTGTATTGAATAGTCTCGCCTCCTCGAATTAATTCTTCGAATGATATGGTGTCTCCTACACTACTCATCGCCGAAACGCCGCTCTCTGCGGATACTCGTCGCTGTTTGACACGAGGGACAGAAGATGAGCTAGAGTTAGATGTGTAAGATGGGCGATGAGCTTTGGGCTTAGTTTCAAGTATAGCATGACGTGATGCTTCCTCGGTTACAGAGCGTGGAGGTGAATTGTGGCGCACAGAAGATGAACGGGGCATTTTCTTGAACATTTCCGGGGAGCCGCTCTCTTTCAGGATGGGTAGCATCGTCAGGATTTCGTTCACAGGATTGCCGATTGTACGAGCCGCGGATTTTGGGGGTGGCTCAATTGAAGACTTTACAGCCTGAGGTGTCATTTGAACATGTTGCTCATCTCCTCGAACCTTGGAAATTGAGATACCGCCTGATGACTGACCCTTGTTAGCTTGCTGTTTGGCCAGTTCTTTCAAGTTTTCTCGGTAATTCTGTGGGGTAGGAGGGGCAGCGAGTACAAATGGCGCTGATCTAGGAGCGGCAGCTTTGAACATAGGGTAATTTTGAGACGTAGGACTGGGGTCCACATCAACTCCTTGCATCGCAGCTGCAAGCTCCGATGGTACAGCAGTCAAAGGAGACTCATCGCAGGCTACCTCTCCCTCGTCCACTTCGGATATCGAGTCGGTGGTTGTCTTGATAGGCATTGAGCTTAAGTTGGAGCCAGTCCGAGCTAATGGAGAACTATTCGAGCTTCTGATGTGAGGGCTTGTTCCTCGAGACGACAATTCTGAGGTTATCGGTGAATGTATACTATTCGGTCGAGATTTCGAGACACCTCGCCCAGCAAAGTAATCCGATGCGTCAAAGGAGCTCTGGTGTGACCTTGTTGTAGGACTCTTTGCTGTATTAACATCGATGAGGCGCAATGAATGAATGCTTGGCGATCGAACACTAGAGTGTAGGCTTGAGTGTGAAGACAAATCTTTGTCGTCAGGAGAAATTCGGCCACCAAAAGAGATACGTGAGGAAGTCATGATTTGCGGTTCTTCTTCAACAAATTCAAAATCGGAATCGATATCCTTACTCGTGTCATCTAAATCAATGGGACCATCGGCGGGCTCGTGTTTCGACTCGGGTACAGCACTCCTTGCTTTATTTGAAGCTTCCTCAATTTCTTCCCCTGAATCTTTTTCCGATTCTGCGGGTGTCATGGTGCCATTCAAAATCGAGACACCGCTTTGGGTCGGGCTGACAAAACCCCCCTGGCTTGAGATTGCTTCCTTTGAACCTCGGGAAAAAAGTGACGTTATTGTAGATGGGTTAGGAGGTGGTAATGAGTTGGCACGTTTTCTAGATTTTGATGGAGAAGCCGAGAAGATGGGAGTTGGTGGTTGCGAAGAATTAGGCGTAGGTAAATCATGCGATACATTCGTAAAAACCACCATACTTTTTGGTCGCCGAGTTACAGGAAGCTCTTCCGTCTTCGAAGCGGCCTCATCATCTTCATCATCGCTTTGTGGGGCTAGTCCTGGTACTTCGATTTCTCTGATATCATCCACAGACATTGGCAAAGGGATAACGGCAGCTTGTTTGTGTTCGGTCAACTTTCCCAACAGTGACTTTTGTGGCTGCTCGTTGTCGCTAGGAGAAATGTTGGCCACTTGGATTAGTGCCAGAATAGATTGTGCTGGAAGATCAGATTTTTCTCTAGAATGCGAGCGACCCACTGAGATTGGGTTTGTTGGTGAGCGGACTCGCTTCTTCCAACCTCTCCAAAGTTTTCCCAATGTTCGATCCAATGCGACTCGCTCCATATCAGCCTCCTCTACAACTACACGTTCTGCAATATCAATTTGTCTGATTATGCCATCTCGCCCCTCCTTCTCATACTTCAAGCGGAGTCGATTATATGCTGCTTGTCCTCCCACATTTAATATCTGTTCGCCCATGAACTCCAGGATGGACGTTAGGAAGATGGCAACCGCCGGAGAAACGATTCCGGAATCGTTTTCGCGGTCCCCAGATTCTAAAAAGCCATTGAGATGCTCTTGAGCTGTGTAGCGATCCTCATCCTCTTCTTCCATATCCCCTAATGATGAATAAACCATACATCTCAATCTCGTGCGTTTCCACACCAGCTCGAGGTCCCAACCTCGCTCCGATTGGTCTTCCCTCTCCGACGACAATAATTCATCATCTTCGCTTCCACCCAGGTATTCTCGAAGCTCATCGTCCGCTCCGCTGACTGCATCTCTCGCAAGCTTTGCCTTCAGTACCTCGGTGACAGCTGGGCGCAATGACACCAATGACGTTGATTTCGAGACTGAGAGGAAATTGAACACAAGCTGATCAAGAAACTTATTGACAAGTTTCAGAGCAGCAGGGGATACCAATGCCGTCTCTCCCGAGGGCTCAATCCCATGCTGATCAAGCCAAGCATCCTCTCTGCTATCGTGGTCGTTCGTAACGATTTGTGAAGCGGCCGAAGAAGCAATGAAGACTGGTTCTGGTGAGATTGAAAGGGGCGGAGAGAGTAAACCGGCATAGGTGCTAGCCGTCGAAGGTCTATCACTAGAAACGCTGGTTGATCGAGCAACTCGCGGACTATAGTTGTCCATTCGCGCATATCGTTGCGCCAACGGTGAAGTAGACATGATTAATATTCGATTAGACTCGGTCGGTATCCTTAAATCCTCCCCCAATTAATTCCTCCAAATCGTCTAATTATGACCAGCAAAAGTAGCAGCGAATGAGAAAGTCGTCAGATAAGGATAATCGAATGGCTGTGGTGAATTTATCAGGTCAAATGGGACATCGGGGCAATGTTTTCGAATCTGAGGAAGCCCCTGTATTAAGAGCTTTTAACATAGGTCAGTATATACAAAGATATATCAACAAGACGAGAAGATGTAATAATATAGATATGTGAACATGTAAGACTGTACAAGTTTATCTGGAGGGGGCCCGTCAATGCACGAGAACTGACTCGGGGGAAGGCAGTTCATAGGTACACCTTTGCATCACATACAGATTGGAAGCTGGAGACGATAACACAGTATCCAAGAGAGATAAGTTACAAAAACTTCCAACTTGAGATAACAAGCTGAGGAGGAAAAATCAATCATATTTGATAATAACCTCCCAAATTGGATACCCACAAAACGAAGAGAGTGGTGATGAAATGGAACTTTTTTTTTTGAGCGTACCTGAATGAACCAAGATCCAGAAAGATCCAATGTCCCGAGAACGAATAACCAATAGAATATAATAGCTGGGTCCAGGAAATTTGAAGTGTAACGTTTTTATTAATTATAGAAGTTAAAGAATATTTGTGATGATGTGTTTGTTGAAATATTCAAGGAGAGACCTTCATCCCAAAGAGAAATATGGAGATGGATTGGGAACTCCAAGGAAAGAATCTACTTCGAGTAAGGGATTCATTCGGCTTCAAGAGAGGTTCATCAGTTCCATTAATAAAAGGTGGTGGTCAAATAGATTTGTCTTTTTTTTCTCTCTAGAGGAACGAACCAGCGGGAGGAACTAAGGAAGTCTAGGTTCCGTGAGTGGCCCCTGTAACAGTGCTAACCAGACCCTGAAGCGATAGATTTCTTGGTAAAATGTGTGTGAAATTGTGAATGTCAAACATTCAGGGGTTGCACGCTTTTCATTTGAGGGCGGCGTGGGTACTCAACTCGTAAGGTGGAGTATCGGAGGAACCGTATAAGTAATGGAGGTGGAGGAGGATGGGATGGAAAGAAGAAGAAAAAGAATGGTCAATTACCGAATCATCGGGTTATTAGCGGTTGTCTTGATCGAAATTGGTGACGAAGATATAAAGTTTTGTTTTGTTGTAGCTGCGACTCCAGTACTATATTCGTGCACTTGCTTCCTTCTATGATGATCCGATGTCCGGAATGCCTTTCGGAGGAGATACATTCATTTTGGTATGTATATGGGTGTTGGAGGGTATATATGGTATATATGGTATATATACATTATGGTATGACTACCTATGACTATGATTATGTGTGTTGAAGGTTGTCAGAGCTGAAGCTGACAGTAAATTGATTAAAAGGATTCCTGGGGAAGGCTTAGCATTATTTTAGGCAATACCGAGTGGATACATTTCAAGAGGAGTTCGAAATGGCTTCTCTACAAGGTAATAAGATTGATCAGATTTGATTCTCGAGATACCCGTAGTAGTTTCATCGATAATTGGTTACTGGCATGCATGGTTACAGTACATCAAATTATAGCATACCCGTTGAGGCTTGTACCAAGGTTGCAAGGAACGAACTACAAAATGGTCGAAGATATCCCGATTAACTTTGAAGGAAACGCTACTCTCTACTCAAGTATTACGAAAGACCTTTCAGTATATTTAGATAGTATCAATACTTGAGTCATCTAACGAGTGTTTGTGAATAGCAGCTGATATCCGATAGTCCGTTCATAGACCTTGAGACCTTGATGATCTTCGGAAGAAATATTACGAAATACTTACGTGATTTGAATTACTTCAAAGACGATAGTGGTAAGATGATAATGTCTCACTTGATACCCAAAAAGGAAATACATTTAACCCCTTTTCAAATATATATAAGTGAGAATCGTGAAATACCTATGATTCAGTGATCTAATTCCAGCTCAAGATATTACACACAACTGAATTAAGGATTGAAAGAACAATACTAACTCAAAGTAATCTTTTAGTCTTCTGAATAGCCTGGATAGCTTGCATCTTCTCCAACTCGCTTGATCTTCACGGCTTCTTTTGAGTTTTGTTAAGCTCTATGATCCTTAGTCAACATCTTAGTACTGTAATCTCTTCAAGGCTTTGGACTTATAGTGACGACAGTTGTAAGTTTGATTAGGTTACAACCATGCCTATATTACTTATAGTAAGTATCATGGGACTATCCGAGGGCTGCAATACACTGTTTCAAGAAGGATCAGCTCATTTGAGCCTTGAGGTTGTACAGAGATACCTTCGTTTGTGAAACCTCCACCCACAGCTTAGATGAAAAGAAATCTCCACCTGTTCTTATCAGTACTCTGTATAGCATCCTGGTTGACTCCGCTTGGTAACGCTCTAACATATCATGCACAATATTCTAGGCTTCAATATCCTAAATGAATGTTTATCACAGACCGACGTTGATAAGTTCATTAACTCTTTGGTATAAAAGTCTCGGAAGGACGATCAGATGAAAACTACCGGGCAACGTTAATACAATTCCGATTAAGAATCTAGTTGCCCACGTTTCTTTCTATTCTCTCGATCGGACCCGTTAACCTAACCTTCCACGCGGGATTTTTCTAAAGTTGCTTTTTAGAATTTATGCAAGTCAGCAGCCGTAAGAAGCAAAAGTGTATGGGGGGGACCATGGATATCTATCCAGCAGGGATAAAGTTCCTTACTAGTAGGTAGTTGTGCCAGCACCATCATCCAATTACCCACCCTTTCAAGTTTCCACGATGGGGCGACAAACAGAAAAATGAAGCAAAAACATCCTAGCAAGGCTAGCATAGATTCTGCGGTGGCGTAAAAGGGCGTAAAAGGCGTCAAGGAAACTATTATAAACCAAAGGATTCAGAGCTAGACTAGTAGGGTACTTACTCCCTTAACCAGGATAACCCTATATGTGCTTCCATTTATATCTAGCGCCGCACGCTCACAGCTCTGACAGACAAGTGGCACAGTGCCGAATGGAGTCATCTTCTAGAAAATTCGGCAGCTTACATCTATCTATGTATCTACAGAAACTCTTCAATTCCGATGCAAAATCAAGATCCTCCAACAGCGAATCTGATAAACAAGCTTCGTATATGGGCATTGATATACAGTACATACACACATTCGTACGTATCTGCAAACATCAAATTCACATCCATCCTGTCTGCGTTACTCATCTGGTCTTATATCTTATATCCCGTGTCTGCAATGGACCGTCAGCAATCTCGGGGCACAGTTATCCCACCGATTACATATGCACACTCCTCCTACCTTCCTTTCCTATTCCTACCTGGCACTTCCAGGATGGTTGAAGAAATAGAAATGATGAGTTACACAATTCTCACTCGCGAGGAAGATCTACTCCTATGCAGTATCATATCATGGACTCGCCGATCACGATGACAAGACTTGGAGTTCATTCAATAACTTCGAACGGTACTCGCTTGGGTTAATAATATCGATAGATTTGCAACACTTCAAACGGTACTCACTTGGGTTAATAATATCGATAGATTTGCTATGTTTCAATAAAACAACATTACCTGCTTAGGAACAAGCTTGGAATGGCTGAAGTCAGCTTGCGTAACATCGCATAATAGATTAAACCTCATTATCTTTAATGGTCTCGTCGATTCGTCCATGACACGGACATCGCCCATGACTCTATCGCGAAATCGACAAGGTCAGTGCATCGAGGCATTTCCCCATATACAAGACGCTCAGCTCCAATTTAGCTCCGAGAGCAGACCCAACTAAACATACATCATACCGCGAGAGAACTACCGACTCCTCCTGAATCTTTCCATAACCACTAGGTCAATTTCTTCATCTCATAGCACAGCTCTCCTAAGCATTTCGCTCCGATCCGGATCGGCCATCGTAAGTGCTTTGTACTCCACCTGTGCTTGCATATAGCAACCATCTTTCGTTCCCTCCATGTATGCCAAGTGCCAATACACTTCGTACTTGAGCTCGTCGTCTTCTAACATCATTTGGTTGTTGAAATCTTGGACGATTTCTTCCATCTTATTATCTTCGTTGGGTCTATCAGTATCCAGTCCCATGCTCGTCAATTTCTCTATAACTTCGTCGAAATCAGAACTTTCTTCTACCCCTGGGCGTACTCCACAATCTTCAAATGATTGGGATAACGCATTGATCCGGCCGTCGTGAACCTAATATACGTTAGTAAACTGATCAAAAAATTCATCACTCATGACCAAAACCACCTTGAACATCAGGATTTCTGTCACGTATAACCACAAAACTTACACCACGAATATAAGCCTCCTCCACGGTCCCAACCGGGAAATCCACCGTCTCCATCTCGATCAAACGATCGCAATAAGAAGCCCTAATAGCCAGTTCTCGCTGGGCCAAACAATCTACACACCACCTAGGAGTTAGCAAGAACATGGTGAATAGATCCAGTTCGCCATCTTGATAACACGCAACTAATTGCTTGTCTCTGATATCCCTACCATCATCGCGATAGCAGTGGCTGCATGCGCCATGAAGGTATTGTATGGGTATCTGATGGTGAGGCGAAGTAGGAACTTGTGTATGAACCTGTGATTGTCCGGTGTGTGGTGAGATTCCCATGTCGCTTTCCATCTTGGAATTAAGTTAAGTGTAGCTGAAGTTGTTTGGTTTGGTTTTGTTGAGTATCGAATGTATTCGTGTCAGATCGATTAAATTTTGCGCGTGCAAATATCGAGGAATTGTTTGGATTGTTGCGGTTATGGTTGTAGTTGTGGTTGTAGTTGTGGTTATAAGAAGACGGAAGATCGTGGGGGAGGTCGCTATGTTTATATATCTCCATAAGCGACGTACCCACGACGATGATGCCCAGGTGATTCACAGGAACCTCGGCCAGTGGCCTGATTTGCTTGAGCGAGTGCCTAATGCAACGCTAGACACGTGGCCATTCTCCATTTCCAAGTCTTTTCAGACGAGAACTTGTTCATGGGTGGCTGCGCTTCTATGATATGTTTCTGGCGAGAAGTGAATCAATCATATGTATATTGGCATTTATTACTCGCTTGCTTTGATTCATCACTACTTTAATGGTAATGGTGGTCAACTAGGAGGATATAGAGGTAAATATCACCAATCCATTTATAGTAATGGAAATTCTTAAGTTGTATTGAGAGGTACGAATAGTTTCGAGCTCATTCTTACGAGTAGAAGAAAAGACAAACCTTTGCTCAAGAGTAAACTTCAAATCTAGAATAGCCATACTCAAGTACTTTCCAATGAAGTGGCCAATCTATATTCCAAACATCGACCCTCTCTAACGTTAATAATATCAAACGGTGCATATGATTTTTCTTTTCGTTCTATAAATGTACATCAAAACACAAGAAAACAAAGGGGAGAAATTCGAGATCCGATTCTTAATGTAGTCATCACTCATAACTCACAAAATACAATACAATACAATACAAAATGAGGAAACTTCCAATGGGTGGGTGGCCTCCGAGTCTTCCATATACTTTATTTGTTACTCAGTAAGTACCGGTAGTAAATAATAATAAATATAAAGAACTGCAAAATAATAGTCGAAGTCATGACATGATCCCAGCTTCTCGCGCGCGTATAGGTAAGTTCTGATGGCTAATATCCTGTTTGTTTGTTTGATGACTTCGACTTCCAGGTAGATAGAAGTTGATGTGATTGTATTGTACGAGTATTGCTATTTGTATCAAATAATTAGTAATACAGATATTGGTTGTGGGGGGTGATGATGTTTGGGTATTTATGGTTTGGTTTTATGGTTTGGTATTATGGTTTGGGTAGCGAGTAGAGAGGTTGAGTGGATATGTTGGGAGGATATGTTGGGAGGATGGGAGGATATGATGGTATGATGTCTTGGTCTATAGTTGGGACGCACTTTTTACCTGGTTTTCTTTTGCTAAATAAAGCTTTTGGGGAGACTGGAAATATAGAAAAATATAAAAGTCTAGCATGATCATGATTCTCTATTTAATTTTATAGATGCACTTTGGTAAAATCTTTTGTTTCATGCCCGCGCGGTGAATATTGGGCGGGCGTATCAATTTAGATTGAGTCTGATGTATGTGGCAGATATTCTCTACTTTAGAAATGGTATCATGATTCATGTGACACGCTTCCTTTCGATACTATTTCACTCCCATTCCCTCATCATTCATAAAAGTCTCGCAATAGCATACACAGCCCATCTAAACCTTCTCCTCTACCCCTCTACCCCTCTCCCTTTTCACATCTACCCCTCCACCCTACCCCTCAACACTCAATCCCTCCCTCCCCACCCCCAAAACCCTCCCCACCACCCCCCTCACCTCCTCCTGCACCTTCTGCACCCCCCTACTAGCATCCACCTCGACCACCAACCCCCTCTGCCTATAATACTCAATCACCGGTTCCGTCACCCTCACATGCTCTGCAAATCTTTTCCGCATAATGATGATCCCATCATCTATCCGAGTGGAAACTTTGGCGCGCCCCAAAAGTCTTTTTTGCAGAATGTGCTGGGGACTTGAGAGTGATAGTACGAGTGTGGGGGTGCAGATTGTGGATTCGAAGAGTGGGATTCGGTCGAGGCTGCGGGGGAAGCCTGGTTGGTTTGGTTGGTTGGTTGGTTAGTGAGGGAGGGAAGGAGGGAATTGTGGTTTATTGGAGTGAAATGAAATGAAATTGAGAGAAGAGAAGAGAAGAAAAGCACGAAATGAAAAGCACCTATTTTACCCCGAGGGATAAATCACAGCGATGCACAGCGACCCACTAAATAAACTCACCATCAATCAAAAACACCACCTCCCTTCCCTCCTTCCCTCCCGTCCCTCCTCCACCCACCTCC